GTTGTGTTGCTACACGTGGGCTCTGAGTTTCATTTAGTCATGATCATTTTGAAGTACTCAGCTCTGCATTAATGCTGCGACTTGTGACAATGTCCTAGAGTAAAAAACATCTGAAGAATGTGAAACATCTGCTTGGTGTTCATAAGGGTGAATGGTTTCCTTCAGGAAGGCACACAGTACAATTCCATCCTGGTGCAGCATGCCCAGAAATCAAGATGCGGGTTATAAATTAAAGATCAGCAAAAAGTCACATATATTTGAATTGAAAGGAAAGTAAGCAGATGGTATGTATCTGTGCAGTGGTAATTTACCTGAGGTTTAACAGCCTGGAGTTATTGCAACAATTCCCAGGGAAAATCCCAACCTTCGAGTTACTTTTGTTGCAGAGCAGTTGGTTTGTATTTCTCAGCTCTGTAATGTCCTGATTTTGTGGAGACCTGGCACGTCCATACCTTTGAGTCAAGATTTATGTTAACTTTCACAGAACTCTGTTAAGGAATGTTAAGAGTGGGTCTGTGTTCGTGGGATCAGGGCTTAAAAAGCTTCCCCTGTGCAATACTTGGCAGTCCATTGCAGTTCTTGTTTCCCTGCCAGCTCAGGGCTGTGTCTTCTCACAACTGTTGTTATACATCCACCACGCGGACAATTTCACTTGTTCACCTGGCAGAATGTTTTTGATTGCTATGTGCATCTAAGACATTTTCCACAATTTTATTTTAGGTTTTCTGTGAAGAAATGCCTTTATCACAGTTGCAGTATGCTGTAATCTTCCTTCTACTTGGAGTTTGTAGTCTTCAAATGTTTGTAGAATGTTATCTCACTCAGTTGTGCCGTTTGATGACAGTCTAGGCATAGGCATGTTTACTCAGCAATTTGGTCCTCCAGTTTTCAGGAGGGTGTGTTTTTGATTTGTACTGTATCCAGTAGTTTGTACTCTTGTTCTTTTGGTCTGTGACACATTGCACTGGCACCTTTGTGCTGTCTTGCATTAAGAGTATGCTCTTGGTTTTGGCAGTTGTGTCCAGTTGTTGGCCAGGAGTCTCAGTAATTGCAGCTTTATGGTTATACATGCCTGCTGTATTTAATTTTCCATTCCTTTCTTGTTACTCTTCCTGTAGTTGTACACACTATTGTAACAAAATTGTTCATCAGTTAACAGAAAGAAGTGGCTTAATGGGAAGGTTCTTCAAAACTGTGTAGTCTGTTGGTCCCTACTTAACCTTTGGGCAGATTTCCTCTGATGGTGGATGGCTCTCGTGTAGTGGAGGTCACGTGGAGTTATATGGTGGTCTTCGTCTCTCTTGTCTTTCTAATTTCACTGCTTTTGTTTCATGTAATCAATTTCCTAATTGCTAAGCCCCATACTCAATATGGGACAGACTATGGCTGCCCATCTTTTCAAGAACAATGCAGTGTCCTTCAGTTTTTAATTTATGGTATTGAAAGGTGTGTTTTATTTGGATTAGTATAATATCCAATGAGGTTTATTTCCTTGACTTCTGACTTATTTTCTCATAAGTATTGAGAACTAACTGATTATATTTGCTGGCTCGTGATTTTACTTCATAAATCCCTACTAATCTTTCATTAAATGGATTTATTTTTTTTTAATGTGCTCAGTAATGAATCTGATAAAATGCAAGGTCTTACAACATGAAGACAACCAACCAACTAATCAGTGATGTGTGAAGGACAAAGTAGTACCGGTGACAGGGATGACAAAGATATACGAGAGATGTAAGATGTGAGATGTTAAGGTTTGTTTTTATAAAAAGAAAAAAAAAGTTAAAGGGTCTTAAAGACATAGGGCCAGGCACTTAACAAAAGGTTTTCTGTTTTTCCTTGGTTTTAACATGCAAAAGAAGTACTGCTGTTGGTCATAGTAATTTAAGTCTTACTAAGATCATAGGCTCACTTGAGGAGTAATCCTACCCTCTTGAAGTTAAGGTATTTTTCTTACAGCTAGGAAGTGCAGATTCTTATTTTTAATTTACCTACTTCTTTTTTAAGCTCACTCGTTTGGGTGTGCATAGCTGGAAAAGTATTGAAAGTAGGACTTTCTCCAAAAATGATTAGTTTTTAGTGACTTACATAAATGTATGCAGTTCACCAGACTATCTATCAAACAGTTTTATACTTACTAGAAACGAAGCTTTCAAGCATGTATGTATCAGTGCCCTGGAGCATTTAGAATGTGGTATTTGTTCCTCAAAAGCTCCCAGCTGGTGTTTGCTTCTAGATTTGACCGTGAGGTTAAGTTGGAATTAGGGTTGTGTTTTCCAACAGTTTAGTAAGTTGAAGCATTGACTGCAAAGTGTTGGCGTTCACGAAATTTCCCCTAATTAATTCCTCCTCATATGTACCTGTGTAGGCAACTGCAGAATGTATCACTGTGGAAAGATGGTACTATATACTCATTAAAAGTGGAGAATGCGTGTGGCATATTTTGGTGTAGTAGTGAATCCTGTCATTGCCAAGTGATTGGCAGATGTATTGTAGTCCTTTGGTGTGTTAGGCTCAGGTGGTCTGTGTGTAGCTAGTGAAGAACCATTCACCATCAGTTATTTTACCGCTGTTGTATCTTCTATTGTGGACAACTCACAGATGTTGTATAGACTGTTCTCTTTTTTTTGTACACAGAATATACCCCAGAGGAGTTTTGAGATTGATTATGACTGTGACTGCTTTGTCAAGGATGGGAGACCTTTCCGTTACATCTCAGGTAGCATTCACTATTCACGGGTGCCCCGGTATTACTGGAAAGACCGCCTGTTGAAGATGAAGATGGCGGGACTGGATGCCATTCAAACGTAAGTAGCTGTTGACTTTCAAAGTGATTTTTAGTCCTGGGAGATGGATGAGAAGTGGAATGCTACCATTGTCACTTTGTTTATTAATTTTTAAGTGATAGGTGAGAAAGCTGCGAAGAAGTGAAGGGTGGTACAGGATGACATCTAACAGCATAGACTGGGGCAATTGGGCAGGTTATAGCTAACAGTGCATTTCCCTGCTGATAGGCAATACCTCTTGCTTCACAACCCAGGGTGCAAATGTAACCTGAAATAAATTGCTGGACTTTGAACTTTGGCAACTATGAAATGGTTCTATGTATTCTGCCTCTGCCAAGGCCATTGTAATCTCTGGTCAAAAGGCAGACAAGGTGAGGGGGGATGATAGCCTCTTAATACAGCCTATGTAGAAGGTTGGTTAGGAACTAGGTGTACTTATTTAAAAAAAAAAAAGTTTAAACAGCATTCAGTTGCGTGTGCCAAACTTTTAGTCCATCTTTCTTGTCCTTGTCTACCTGGTTGTGTACTTATTACAACAGGTAAGGCCCAGGTTAAAAAAAAATGCAGCTTACTCTTATTTTTGCCAGAGCTCCCTTGACAAGGGGAGAGGAGTGGTAGAAAAGCATAAGGCACAGTCTTTTCAAGCAATTGTTGTCATTCCCAAACATGTTTGTTTTTCTTTCCTAAATCATTACAAGGCTTAGAGCTTCTCTTTGAAACAGCCTGCTTGTGTGCTATAGACTGCCAGACAGTGCAGAGCCCCTGGGGGCCAGGACGCTTTGCTCAGCGGGAGTGTTGCACCATCTCTCCGTCCTCTCCTTTGAAATCTGTATTTTGTTTGACCTGGAAGTCGCAGGGTTCCCTTGTGCACTTGGGGATATGATTAGTAACAGTTAGTATGTGAAGAACAGATGGCAGGGAAAGAAAAGAAGTTGCTTTTTTCAAATTTAGGGTTCTCTATTTTTTTGTATGTCTTAAAAGTTTCCCCTGTGTTGTGATAATGTAGTGACTTTTTGTTGGTGGGTGTTTTTTGTGAGGTGGTTTTTGTTGTTTTCTAATAAAGCAAGCAAGTTCTGTATTCCCTCATATCACATAAGAACAATGGGTTTAAATGACACACTTGTTCAGGACAGAGTTGCTGGAATTGCCCATGTAATTATTTTTTGCTGCAATAAAAATAATCTCAAATGGACTTGAAGATTATATCTTTTGATGTCTGGCTTTAAGATCAGCCTGGGTCCTGGCAGTGGCTCTCCGACTCCTATGATATGTGGTCTCTCATGCTTCCCTTATGTCTCTGATTTATTTTCCTCTTCCTCCCAACACTCATAATATTTTCAGTGCTCTGTTTATTTCAAGGTTTTTCAACCAGTGCCTTCTTTTTTTTTTCTTTGAAATTGCCTGTTCATGTCTCTGCTGCGTCACTGGTCTTTTGAGATAGGAATCTTTTCTTTCCCATTCCCTGCTCCCCCATCACGGTTGTTTAATGGCAGAATTGCTATGGGGCTGGGTTTTTTTTTTCATGTTGCTTCCTTCTTCCTTTGTAATCTCCCACTGACAGGATGGGTGGTTTTTTTCTCTTCTTTTTTTTTTTCCCCTACTTGTTGAGATCTCTTACTCTGTGCTTTACTGTTTTGCATTAGTGTCCTTCCACTGTGCAGGAAGGAGTGGAGATTGTCCTGTGTTGCTGGCCTCAACTGATCTCTGTCAGTCTTGCCAGAGCGGAGTTGTTTCTGTTTCAGCACAGAAGGCACAGTACAGCTAGCAAGTGTTGCCCTGTGGTTATGTGACCTATGGCCTTAGGTGGTGTTGCTGGATCACCGATGACAGATAACAGTTTTTTTTACAACCTCCTTTTCTTTCTATAGAGCAAACTGGGATTCTTTAACTTTCTCCCCCATCATTGCTTATCTTTCTGTTTTTCTACTATGCTAAAAGATAGCTCCTAAATGTGTATCTTATAAGCAGAAAGTACCCCTATGCCTTGCATTTTCTACAAGAATCAAATTCATGCATCTTTCCATTTGACACTGATCTCTCTCTTTTGCTCTCAATGTTAAAAAACGAAACAAACCCAAAAAACAAACTACCCACCAAACCCCTTTTTTCTTTGAAGTTTGCAAATAGCCAGGCCTTACTGCTCTTGATTATTTGAGATAAAGCAATAAATTTTCATGTTACCCCAAACAATTCTGCTGTGATTTTGTGTGGTTTTGGTAAAAATGGAAATTGGTCTAGATGATTATTTAGTTGTGTTTTTGTTTTCTCTTCTGCTACTCTTTCCTGGATCAGTAAAACTATTAGCAAGGGACTGAGATACCAGTTGTGTGAAGTTGTTCTGGAATGGGCAGCAGCACTGCCAGGCTGTCCGGCAAAATGTGGTAGTTGGACTCCCAGCCTTGGGGCCACTTCTGAAGACTGATTTTGCTGCTTGAGGTTTTTCCCATGAGACAGGGACGAGTCTTGCTATAATTAGAAATATAGGAGCCTGCCTTGTTCTTATCAAGGTGCTCCCAGTGGGGCTGACCACTTCAAGGGAAACAGGATCCTTTTATTACAGGATTGTCCTCATAAATACCTTTCGGTCAAAGCAAGCCAGACCTGCTCTTCTTCCTGTTCTTTAGCCTCATTTCCAAAAGACTCGCTGTGCCTTGGTGCATTGTTCAGCTGATGACTGAGTCAGCAGCTCATCTAGGGCTCCTGAATAGGTGAAGTCAGTATATGTATATAACTATCTGCACCTGGAAACATCTCAAGCAATAACAGACTATGAGAAAACAGGTGACAGGAAGCTTGATCTTACAGCAAAGCTTAAAATATCAAGACCTAAACCTTCCAAATAGCAGGTTGACATTTGATGTTGTGGTTGGTGTGACATCCCAGAAGATGATGGGAGGTGTACCTACTAGCTCCACTGCCAACCTCAGCAGGTAGCATCCAGAGGCATCTGGTCACACTGTCCTCAATTTCAGTGCCTGAACTGTGTCTGCCAACTAGAAACGAATGCTATCAAAGACATCTGGAAAAAGTTAGTGGTGTGGTTTGTTTTTTTTGGCAGGGACGAGGTAAACAACCACTAGATGGGGCTAAATATTTACAGGATTTACAGATCTGTGGAGCAGCTTCCTGGAAGACTCCGCAGTTACCTTAGAGGCTCATAGAAAGTTAAAGAATGTTGAGCATTTTATTTGTTTTACTGTATTTGTTGACTAAAACTGTAAACCTGTAGAAATTCCCTCTAAGAAAGTGCTGTTGTTTAGAAGATATATTAGTTAAAATATAAGCACAATTTACTTTTTTCTAAAGACTCATGTGTAATTTAACTAGTGTGTATAAAATGCTGCTCTCTTATTTATGAAATTAGTACAAGCTATTTAATTTTACACTATTAAAAATAAACAAACGAACAAACCAACCCTGCTATTACAGAGAGAATTATCCTGTACATTGAAGTAGTTTAAGCATTTTATTTTTTTTACCTATTGACATCTCTGAAATAGGAGAGGAAGACTGTGACATTTAAAGAAAAGGAAGGTTATAGGATGAAGCTTAGAAATTGTATGTAGATGGAGAGGAAATGCTATTACTCAAATATGGAAGAAATACCACATTTCAGGTTTGAAAAAGGAGTGTGGTATTCCTTTATAAATTAATTATTCTGTAGCTGAAGCATCCTTTATAAATTAATTACTCTGTAGCTGAAGCAGTATAGCATTAATGACTATACATTTGTACAATGGTATATAGCGATTATACTTGCTAATAATAACAATTTCAAACTAAAGTGATTTGAGGCCATTGCTAGTTGTAGAAAATATACACTTTAATCCCCCAGTATTAGTAACAGTTTTTAGACCAGTCTTTCAAATAATTTATATCATGATTCATTCTGTAAGAAAGCATTTCACATAAATCTTTTCCTTCACTTTCTTCCCTTCTCCACTAAAACATGCTTTTTTTTCTAGCCTTGTGGGAAAGCATGGAACATACAATCATAGAATCATAGAATCGTTATGATTGGAAGAGACCTCAAAGATCATCAAGTCCTACCCCATGCCACCATGCCCACTAACCCATGTCTCGAAGCGCCACATCTAAACGTTTTTTGAACACCTCCAGGGACGATGACTCCACCACCTCCCTGGGGAGCCCGTTCCAATGCTTAACGACTCTTACAGTGAAGAAATTCTTCCTAATATCCAACCTGAACCTCACCTGGTGCAACTTGAGACAGTTTCCTCTTGTCCTATCGCTAGTTACTGGGGAGAAGAGAATAGATGAAAATGAATAAATAAATGAAAATAAATAAATGAAAACTGTTTCTAGAAGAATTTTTCTGTCATCTTCCACCTTGAGCGTAAGGGAGCTGCAGAAACCCTTTTGTCCTCACCTCAGATACTATTAAGCATATTTAGACCTTCAGACTTGCTTCCAGAACAAGTTCATAAAACTCTCCAATGAATATATTTTTGTAACTAACAGGTTACAAGGTATAGTTAAATTATAGCTAGAATGCTTTTCTCGTATTAAGTTGTAATTTACTTACCAGTTATTTATAACTTGTTCGGTAGCCTAAAGAGAAAGGAATATAACCAGTTGCTGTCTTTCTGTAGTAGTATTTTAGGCAGTGAGAAACAGTTACGAGGTTAATATCTAGTCATCTTTATTTAGCTGCTCGAACAGGTGCAGCTCTGTGCTAGAAGCATTTTCTGGTAAATGAGTTGCTACATCAACGTGCCTGTTAATTTCTCCCAGAAAGAGCTTTGTCTCTTACTGCAGTGTTGTGTTGGTGATTCGTGAGATGGTACTTTTCAGTGGAACCTGCAGACCCTTTTCCTATTAATACCACTTCCATATGTCGTCTTTTTCATTTTGGATCTTTTACCTTTTCCTAGGCAAGAAGGAGTTAAAAAGTGGTAACTCTTAAATCCTTTTTGATATCAGACCATGTTGCTCATTAGTTAAGAGCACTTAGAATCCTGATCATGTTCACAGACAGATTTGCAGCTGCTCCCCATTTGCAAAGCATGCTGTGCATTACATCACGTAGAAGTCAATAAAAGCTTTGGATATAGTCAGACCTACCAAAGAGACTTGGGATACTCCACCAAATATTCCATTGCTTTCCCAGCAAATTGTGGATTGTTCTGGTTGTTCTTTTGTGGTTAATTTTTATTCTATGTTAATGTTATACCAACTAGCTTTTTTTTTTTTTACTTCCCTCTTGTTTGTTTATAGGGTTGTCATACAGCAAAGTACCAAAAGCCTTGCTAAGCCAAGAGACATCACCTTTTTTCCTTTTCTCTAATCCTTTAGGCAAATCTTCCTGTGAACAAATGGAGTTAGGTTTATCTGTCCTTGACAAATCCATATTCACATACATAATAACTTAAAAGAATTCTGTATTTCTAAGCAATAGTTTTGAAAATAACATAGCTGTTACAGTTTAGAGCAAACTAAAATTATTCTGCAGTGATAACCTGGGTAATGGTATATGGAACAGGGCAAGAAAGCACAATACGATACTCTGGTATTGGCTTCTTTAAGGTGGGTCGGTCATTTGTTTTAAATAGTTTTCTACTTTATCTAATTTGACCCTAAATGTCAGGAATCAGCTTGCTCCTCTGCTTGAAATTTAGACAAAATGCACAAAACTAAATTAATGGTAAAGGTATTTTCACATGGTTCATATATTGATTAAATACACTTTTAATTTGTTTTACAAGTGAGTTAATCGTGTGCTTCGGAAACAATTAGAACAGGTTGACAAAGAAATAAAATATACTACATAGTGCAGAAAATCTGCATTGTGATGCCTGAGCGTATTGCTTTCACTCCATCCTGGCATACAAATTTTAAGCTTTATCTTTTCAAACAGAGGCTTATAACTTTGGCATTTGTGAGGCTATAATATTAACTAATGTTGCTGAAAGATTATAATTTTTGTATTTGATGTTCATGTGCCTCTATGTCTGAGTGTGGCCATTTCAGTAGTGTGCTCATGTGATGGTTACTGTTTTTCTTGCTTATTGAAAGCAGTGTTTTCTGTGCTTTCTTTCCTTCTTGGGTAGTTCTTACAAAATTAACTCTGGAACATATAAACAAACCCAGACAGTAAGAAAAGTGTTGCCTGAGAGGATCTTTGCTTGACTAACCACAGTTTTAGTTTTACAAATTTTTCTCAAAATTGTTCTCTCTGGAGCAGTGGCAGTGGTTCTCTTGGAGGGATTACAACCCTATGTGCAAAAAAGTAAATGCATAGAGAATGAGTTTCTCATTTTCTTGAATCCCTGCTCAGGCTATACTCATCCCTAATTTTAATGTCTGTCTATGATATGACTGCCACTTAGTACTATACCAAACCAAAACTCTCATGGTTGTCAAGCACGGGCCATAAGCTACAACACTACGCGTGGTAGTTGGTAGATAACGTGTTTCTTTGTTGTCTTGCAACCAAGTGTAACTTTTTTTTTTTATCTTCTGTGAGATGTTCTGCGAGGTTGTGGTTTCCTAAGTCCTGGAAGTAGAAGAGACGTATTCTCTCACATGGCTACCTGCTTGTTTGACAGCTTTATTACTTGGTTGAAATGAAGTTTTACTTTGTCCAAGCTCTTGGGCACCTTAGCATCCTCTAACTTGACTGTTCTTCCCATACTGGTTTTCCAGAACCTGCGTTGCTCCTGGTCAATGAAAACTTTCAGGACCTAGATGCAATATCATTTGAGGCTTAGGCATTTTTAAGTTCTTTGTAGTGGCAGCAGCATGGACCTGTCAGCCTAGTTGATGTTCCCTGTGCAAGCTCGGTGAACCATTTGCAAAGAGTTACGTGCTGGTTTGGGCAAGCTCATTCTTGACCACCTCCTTTGTGAGTGGCTTACAGTATTCAACTCTTCACAAACCTCCCACCACTAGACAACTGGCATCTGAATTGCTAACATCAAAACTGTTAACTACTTAAAATTCGGAATAGACATCATGGTTTCAAAATGGCACTACCAAAACCTCTTCTTGCATTGGTATGGACTCTGCAGACATACTGCAAAGTACTAAGCCTTATTTCAGTATTAATTTTAACACCTTCTGCCATATGAAACACCTCACAGAAGAAAGGGTCTAGAATTATTCTTGTATTATACGGATCTGAAGAACAGTTCAGCAATACAGATCTCTGAGGCATGTGGTGCAAGCAGTTGTTATTCGGAGTTCTTGTTTAATCTCAGTTTCCTAATGGAAGGTGATCCTCTCTCTTCATAGGTATGTGCCATGGAACTACCACGAACCCCAGCTGGGCATGTATGATTTTTCTGGTGACAAAGATCTAGAGTATTTCCTGCAGCTTGCTAACGACACTGGTTTGCTGGTTATCCTGAGAGCTGGACCTTACATCTGTGCGGAGTGGGACATGGTACAACCTTTTGTAACAGTTATCTCATTTCTAGGGTAAACCTAATGCATGTACTTCTGTCTTAAAGTAGACAAACATTCTTGGTGTTTCCTTGGACAAGACTCTTGGTTTAGCCTATTAAAATCCATGCAGACTGAGTGACTTCTTACAACACAAGCTTACTTTGTATTTGTTTTTTTAATTGGGAATTACTACTTGTAGAAAATCAATCTTCAGGTCTCAGTATATGTTTTGCTAGAAGGCTAAATTCTTACATTTCCTAAAAATGATCACTGAAGTGTTTTCTCTTTCTTTTCCCAGGGAGGTCTTCCTGCATGGCTGTTGGAGAAGAGATCTATTGTTCTCAGGTCTTCTGATTCAGGTAGAGGCATCAAAAAGACTAGCAAAAATATGCTTCAGCAGCAAGGTGACTTGTTGTTTGGGGCCATAATTTGAGCTGAAATATGAATTATCTAGTAATCTTGTAAAATCTTCAGTACATTTAATTAGAACTGTGCATTCAAGAAGTATATAGAACAAAGAAAATAGAGTAGAAAGTTTCCAAGGTATTGACAAGTTTCATGAAAACTGGTGCCAAAAGAGAAGTTATTGTCACCATTGAGGAAGAGACAGGTAGCTTTCAGGTTTGTGTTTTTCAGTTTTGCAACAGCCAACTGGCCGCTCATTATGGGAATCTTTCCTGGCTGGTCAGTGTGCATGTAATTCCAGAACTAGTTACAGTATTCTTATGTGCTACCTGGTCATGGACCAGACATGGAGGGATGAGATGAAACAGGATTTTATTGTGGTTATTGGAGTGTGTATTAGGGGACAAAGATATATATCATATCTGACTTCAGTTCTGCTCATTGTGGGATAAATTATCTATTTTAAAAAACAGTACACGTAGCAGCATTTGAATTTGTTTTCCTGTTGAAATGTATTAGGACAACCTGTGTGAGACATATTGAAGTCTCTCTGGTGATTTTCAAAGTTAATCAGTATTTAAATGTTTTATTTTTTAGTAAACTGTACTGGGAGCTGATACTTATGAACAAGTATAAGAGCGCATGAGTCCATTAAATGCTATTCTGTTATACTTTACATATTTAGAACACTAGCTAAAAACTACCTATATATAATTTAAAACAAAAACTAGAAAAAAGCAGAAAAGTTGTGGAACATTTATACTTTGTGTATCACAGACTACCTGGCAGCAGTAGAGAAGTGGATGGGTGTCCTTTTGCCAAAGATGAGGGCTCACCTCTATCAAAATGGAGGTCCAGTCATCATGGTCCAGGTAACTTCCTGAAAATTAAATGAACCCAAGCAGCATGGATGCTTATATTGCTCTTGCAGATACTCCATGGGCATTGGGTGTTGATGTCACAGATGTTCCTTAACAGTTCAGGTAGCTGAAAGATTCTGATGAAATCCCTTATCCTAAAGAACTGAATGCACTGTTTCCAGGATTCAGAGAGCACTTGTCTGCTCTATCAAAGTTGTTCCCCACAACTGTAGAAAGCCATAGAGGAAACTTGTGGAGCTTTTTAGATCTGAGTTTCATGCCGATTCTGGCATAAAGCCAAAATACATTACAATTGCCTGAAACCCTTTGACAGGAAAAAGGGGAATAAGGGTACCTGCACATAGAAGCAAAAGCAGTATGGAGTAACCCTAAAACTTGTGACAAAAACGGCCTCAAAATTTAGGCTTTTTAGTTCTCACACTTAATTTAAGCTGTAAATGTTTCAGGACACAATGTTGTGCATTCATGCTGAGTAACTTCTCTCTTAAACTCCTTCTAGATGTGCAGTGGTGATTGTTCTGTATTCTTAATATTTGACCATAACAAAAGCTTTGTTATAATTTTTTTTTAACTCCCTCGTTGGCACAGGATGGGGTAGGAGACCCTTACAATATGCCCGAGATCATTGTTCTTGAGCAATGTATTGTGTCTATTGAGCAAAAGCACTGGGTGAAATTATTCTTCAGCAGAAATAAGATGCTTATAACATGATTTTCAGAAATAACCTTCAGGTGTGCATGGCATTGGATCTGGAGCTTGAAAGCCCATGCCCTTGAGAAAGGGGCAGGATGTGTACCTCTTAGTAGTAGCAGGGTTTTCCTTCTCCCCTCAGTCCTTTGAGTCCACTGCAAGGCTTTGCTGTTCATGTGAGCGCCTTGTAGGTGTCTCTGTACTGGAAGTCCAATTTTGCTGCAGTTTTGATCATGTCACAACCTGTTTTATGGTTTTATTGTTCTACCTGGGAGGTGGGTCATAGCTCCCCATTTTTAATAGAGACTGTGTTTTGATCACTGTTGCTAAGTAGTTAGGGTAGAGATTTTTATGTGGAGGGTGACTTTGTAGGAAAATAACTTACTTCCACGCAATGATTCCTCCACTGTAAGATAGAGGTGAGAAGAATGAGTGTCTAGAAGCATTGTCTTCTTTTACTCCTCAGGTCTGGAGTTAAAATGACATTTTCAGCATTGCCATCAAAGGAAGAGGAGGGTTGGATTTGGGCTTTCCATTTTTGGTATCAGATGCAGACTGAAATTGGCTACTGCTTTACTGACTTGCTTTTGCTGTGCAGGTAGAGAATGAGTATGGAAGCTACTTTGCTTGCGACTATGACTATCTGCGTTCCCTTCTGAAGCTCTTCCGCCAGCATCTTGGGGATGAGGTGGTGCTGTTCACAACTGATGGTGCAAGCCAGTTTCACTTGAGATGTGGAACTCTTCAGGGTCTTTACGCAACGGTGGACTTTGCCCCAGGTTGGAGACCACTGTTTGTTACCAAAAAATTCTGTTCTGTGTGTGTGGCAGGACAAAGTGAGGCAACTGCTTGACAAACCTGACTGCTTTGTTTAAATGGGGTAATAGGCATTTATGTTTATTTGATGTACTCTTAAACATAAAAGAATCACCCACAAGTACCCAGTTAGAGAGTCATAATCACTTCCTTGCATCATGAAACTATGAATAAACAATTGAAGACTGCTCATAGTGCATATCTCTAAAAATTAGCAGTAATAACTGGCATTGATTCCATTGATTTTTTTTTAATATATTTTTTTGATGTTGGATTTTTCGTTTCATGTTTTTTAATGTCCTCTGTCTGTCCCAGAATCCAGACCTCATAGTTCATTTCTTTTTAAGCCAGTGGTTAGTGAAAAAAAAATACTGCTGAAGATCATCATTAGAAATGTGCACAGTGCCACAATTTGCTGTGATATAGGCCTGAAGAATGGCTAAGTAAACAACCATAGTGTGTTCAGAAAGTGTCATTTTGATAGGAGAGTGAATGAGGTAAATGTTCGTGCTGCATGGACTTGGCAAAATAGGCTTAAGGCTCAAGAAACAAACTCCAAGATAGGTATTTCCTTTTTTTTTTTTTACATGAGGCCTCTTTTGTACATTATTCTCTCCATAGTCAAAGATGTGTGCTTAGCAGGAATCTGTTTTCTTACAAGTAGATTGACTCATGAACTCCTTCGTGTGTATCATTTATGAGATGGTGAGCTACTTATGGAAGTGTAGTTATTTCCAGTCCCTACGGCTTGAGCCACTAGGAGTGATCAGAAATGAAACTCCTGTTCAGAGATTGCCTGGCTTCTGTTCATCCCCATAGTCACGGTTCTGCAACTCCAGACCTATATTTTCCAATAACCAAGTAGCAATTCTGATACATCTCAGACATTTTGGTGCCAGGATGTCATTCCTGAGAAAAGCTGGATTTTCAGAAGATGTATCTCAAAAGCAAAGATGTACAGACATGTATGCGTGCATACATGTACGTATATATTTCAAATAAGTTCTATGACTAAAATGCTGGAATCAAAGGTATTGATTCCTGCGTTTTCTGAAGTAATTTTCTTGTCTGGATTTTTGCTAGGTGTTGGAAGAGAGATAAGAGACCTATTTCAGTAAAATGAAGGACTGAAAAAGTCATGGATGTAGCAACTCAATTTTATTTCTGTCTGCTTATAGGTGGCAATGTGACAGCAGCATTCTTAGCTCAGAGGGGCAGTGAACCTACGGGCCCTTTGGTATGTCTTTTCACTTAAATTTCTTGTATCATTCCTGATCTTGCAGTGGTTGATAAAAGTGGAGTTGACAACAGTGTGTTGGACAGTTTTAGAGTCATGTTTATGAATATATATAATTTCCAAGTCAGAAAAACTGAACAGAGGAGCTTCTCTGTGTGTTTGTCAAATCCACATTAACTGCTGTTCTGCAAATACTATTTTAGTCTCAAAAGATATTGATTTTGTTTCAGTATTTTTTTTTTTTCCTTGCTAAGACAAGTGTTTACAAAGCAGCGGAAACAGTAAGTATGATTAGATGAGTTAGTGAGGTATGTGTGTAGGTGGAAGTTAAAAGCAAAATTAAAAGGGCAGGTTAGAAGTTTCTTCCTGTTTTCAGCTACCCTAGAGGTTTTACATAAGCTATAAAGCCATGTGAGATCTCTGGAAGCCATTTTGACCAAGGGGGAAGGCCTGTTGAGGGTACATGATTATCTCTGTGCTATGAAGTTGTTTAGAATGCAATCTGAGTATTTGATTTATTTTTCATTGCATCTAGTCTATGTATGCTATAATGCAGAGAATGTATTGATTCCATCATTTATTGGAATGCCAAGCATCTGAAACATGTTCATGTTGACAGGTTCCAAGGAAATCCATGCTCTTTTGGTACTTAAGCAATTATTTTCAAAGTGTCCATATAAAATCATTGGAACAATCCTTCAGTTTCTTTGACCAGTAATCTACTGAAAAAGACTGACTTAGTGTATACTTTGCTGTATTTAGAGTAGTTTAAAAATGGCTCAAATGAGTCAAGGTGCCTTTTTTTCCTTCCCTCTTACAGTTAGTAACTTTAAATCACATTGCTTTCTGTTCTTGTTCCCTATTCATGTTTTCCCTTCCTCTTTTGTCCTTCCTCCTTTCAGGTTAATTCTGAGTTTTATACTGGATGGTTGGATCACTGGGGGCACCGTCATTCTGTTGTGCCCACACAAGCTATAGCTAAAACACTTAATGAAATCCTGGCACGTGGTGCTAATGTTAACCTGTAAGTGTGTGTTCAGTAGAGGTTAATTTGGGGGGGATTTTTTTTTCCCTCGCAATTCAGCAGAACCTGATTTAAGTGGATGACTTTTTTTGCTTTTTAGGTACATGTTTATAGGTGGGACTAACTTTGCCTATTGGAATGGTAAGAAATTATTTAAGTGATACTGATGATGTAGGGGAGCTGTTTATGAATTAGGTAGTAATATATTCTGTGAAAGAATAAGCTATGCTTGCTTTCACATGACAAAAGATGACTGCACTAGCTGTTCTCTGTCTATTGCCAGCATAATTCTGAAAGTTGATACCTTTGGGGAAAAAAACAAGTTTTCCACTCTGTTGCCTTTTTCCCCCCTCCTCCCTTAGGTGCTAATATGCCCTATATGCCACAGCCCACTAGTTACGACTATGATGCTCCACTGAGCGAAGCGGGGGATCTGACAGAAAAATATTTTGCCTTGAGGGAAGTCATTGGTATGGTGAGTGTCCCTGGGACATGTTTGGAATGGTTCTCTGAAACATCCCTGGTGTACTGCAAACTCACTCACTCTTGTGTTGGTATAGGTTACTTCTGAACTTTCTGTTTTCTTCAGGTAAGGGAAGTAAGGTAGAACAAGGTGATCAGGCCAACCTAACTCCTTGTTGTTACCAAAGGGGAAAGATCTTACACCTCTCTGGCTCTCCTTTCTGTTCCGATGGCTCCCTCCTTCCTTTCAGAGGAGGGGATACAGGTGCAGATCTGACACCGAAATGATTCAGCTCTGCTTTTTTTTTTTTTTTTTTTTTCAACTGAAGGTCAGTAAACTGAATCAGCTCACTCGCTTGGGTGAGAGCCAGTGCTGGCACACAGGGAGCAAGGGGAGGCAGAAAGGGTTTGGCTGGGTGTAGAGATGGAGGAGGAGCGAACGGAGGTTTTCCCTTTCAGCATTGATGAGCCATTCAGTCAGCTCAGTCTCATCACGGGATGTCAGCCTGATGTGACCTGCAGCTTAGTGCTTTGGCTGTCTGTATCCCAAGCTTCATGTTGTGGTTTTGGGCCTCTGTGAGAAGGAGCTTGCTTATTCAAATGAACACATCTTGTTTTTGTGATGCGACAAACTGTAGCTAGTGGGTGGGACCAGCTTTGCCTTGCTGTAAAAATGCACAGTGTCTCTACAAAATGGAGACTGAAGTGAAACGTGGAACCTGTATCTGGATTTTTTGAGTAGTCTTGCATTGGAGGCTGTTCAGATAAAGCTTAAAAACAGATTCCATGGGAATCCCAAGGCTCAGGCTTGTACTTGCTGTCCTGTTGCATGCCAGCAACATTCCTATTCACTAGAAAACTTTTTTTTGATGGGAGTAGATCTCCCAAAAGTATATTACACTTCCTCTAGGGTTGAGCATGCCTTTATCTCTGCCCCGTGGAATGCCTGCTGTGGGTCATTTTCTTCAATTTCTCTATTATCCCTAAGCTTTCTGTTGATGGGATAATTTTGATAGCCTTTCAAGGGGAATTTCTGACCAGAGAAATTCCCAAACTTCCTGGTTTTGTTTTCTTCAAGGCACGATCCCTGTCTGAAATGTAAGTAGTGTTCTAGTGCAGTGAGAGAGCCTTCATAAGATCTAAAGTGTTCAGTATAACCTAAGGTGTGTTGGGTCATGGTACAGCTTTTTTTTTGGTGTGGTTTGTTTATCTCTTGCCTTCCATATCCACAGGATCTCAGTGAAGTTTTCCGGTCTCTGCTGTGGGTTCTAAACCCATCACAGTCTATCTACTCAGTTGCAGTTTGAGGTGGAGCTGATGAAAGAAAACTAAGTTGCCTGTAACTAATGACTGCATTCAACATGTTAGATGTGCTACAAGGCTAACATGTTATAATCTTCCTTTACTGTTTCCTTCAGTTAATAATTGTGATAAAGAAGAAGGGTTTCAGCCTACAGTTTCTTTCAATTGCTGACAGCATTCTCTAATTTTTACTATTTGGGCTGGGACTTCCTACTTTTGACAACTTCTCTTGGGTGAATATAGTTTTTCTTTGTTCTAAGCCTCAATATCTTGGATTATTTTCAAATACAGAAAGGAAGAAATGAACTTGTTACCAGAAATACAAATCAGGCTTTCATCAGTACATAGTTGACATTTGACAGGAGAATTGGGAGGTATGGGGAATCATACTGCTGTGGTCTGTTTTTTTTTAAAAAAATAAAAAAAATATTGACCACCTAAACAGAAAAACCCTTGTCTTGGTGCAGAGGTGAGCTTTTGAGCATGAGTTTTATGCTGGATATACCATGTGTAAGTGCAGCAAATCATACCTTGTGCTAAAAGTTTCAAGCTGGAATCAAAGTAAAATCTCTTAAGAAAAATGCCCTTTCAGCCCCTCACCAAATTTATTTAAAAAAAATAAATGTAGGAGCTGCCAAAGTAAGCACTCAGAAGTCACCGAATGTGCAGATTAAGATAACCATCACAAGGGCAGTCATTTGTGCATGTGCATTGAAAGGTAAGCTTAGATTGCTTGATCACATACATGGGTATCTTGTCTGCAGAAGTTTTTTTTCTATAATGCACAGAGAGGGACATGTTCAGTAAATGAAAGAACGGATGGGAAGAGTGGACATTACAGGAGACCAGTGATGGCAGGAAAGGGAGAAGAGGATGATGGCAAGGGGAGAGGAAGATTGTAGGCTCAGAAAGGAGGAGGCTAGGATATGGGGCGGAAAGCCAGTGTCTAGATTTGTTGCTCCTCAGAGGTGTCTGAGAAAGTGGTAGACACCCTTCACTCCTTCACTCTGCTGATCTCAGATGGTTCTTCCTAGAGATATAAGGCAAGAAGTAAGAAGAAATAGCCTGGCAGTCAGAGTGTTTCTTGCATGTTTCCATGGGATTGATTGGGCAGTTGTCTAGACCAGGACCAGAGGGAGGCTAACAATGGGACCTCAAGGGTTCATGAAGCTGTGGAAGAGGCTGTGGTCTCAAGACCTGCTTCTCAAAGAAACCAGCCCAGGCAGTAATGGATTAGCAGGTGGTGGTCGAGTGTAGTAACATTGAAATGAAAGGCACAAGAGGCTAATAATTCCCATATCAAAGTGCTGCTAAGGAAGGGTCAGGTGGAAACACTGCCCTACGGACTTGGAAAAGTTAACTCAAGCTCCCGTGGACTGGGTTGATGACTGCAGGAGGGTTGTAGAAGATGCATACTGTAACCACAGGAGGGCTCCAAGGGCACTGTGATTATTTGACAGCTCGTTTGTTTGCTATGCTTTTTACCGTTACCTCGAGGTGAATAGTTGTTAAAAATCGTTTACCATATGTGATCAAGTCAGATGTTTGGTTTTGTTTTTTTTTTAAAAAAAATCCTCCATCTTAGACTAGATGCAGCTGTAATCCTTCAGCACAGTGAGATTATCTACTTTTAGCCAAAGTTCTGCTTTTGTAAGTTGTGAAGTGGAAAGTGAGAATTCAGTTACAGCGTGTTTATATTTAAGTTTCATGTGTGTGTGTGTGTTTTGTTTGTGTGGTTTTTTTTTTGTTTTTTTTTTTTTCCCCTCCTTCCCTTTCTAGTATAAGCAGTTACCGGAAGGTCCTATCCCTCCAACAACACCCAAATTTGCATACGGGAACGTCCGCTTGCAGAAGGTAAATTAACATCTGTAATATGTTGTATGTCTTTCCGTAATGCTGTACGTTTTTTTGCAAAAAATGTTTATGAAGATAGCATGACAGTCTAGATATACAAAATAAAGAGGAAAACCTTGAAAGCAAACTTTCAGGAAGGAGGGAGCAGAGCTTGGGAGTTAGGAATCACGCCCATGGTGGAAAATGAGAAAATGCATGTTATCTGGAAATAAAAAGGTAATTTTTACAATATGCAGTATGTGCCTGAAGTTTTTCTAAACCGAAATGAATATGTTATTAACACAACAGAATCATAGTTGTCTGAGATAACTTGTCTATGAGTAGTGCAGCTGGGAGAATGCTGGTATGAGCAGAGTGTTTTTGTAGCTGGTGATGCCTCTGAAGTAGAAGCAGCAGGTAGGATGTACGTATCTCTTAAATACCTCTAGGTGTTTAAATTTTGAATATGGAACATTTTCAATAAATTTGAAAGTCTTACTGATAAAGTTTCTTACAAAATTTGTGAAAATCTCTAGCTGATGACAGAAATTAAATTAGTTTCCAGCTGAGGGAAAGACATGCAGAACCTAGCACGCAGAACCCAGCCTTGCTATATGCTGTCTGACAACAGTGATCTAACTGATCAGGACATGAGTAGCTGGGGTTTGTCCACCATCATTTTAGAACCAGGGACAATTTTCTGTGAAATACAGTTGAGAACTGAGTTCCTGCAGTGAGTGTAGAGGATGATTTGTGGGGTGATGAAAGAGACAGCAGGTATGAACTTGGCTATATTCATTCTGCTGGGCACAGACAAGTTATTTTGAGGTGGAGAGTTACTGCAGTTGGTGTACTGGATACTATGATTCATAATGCTTTGATTTTATACTTCGTAATTTTAATTTGGCAGCCACCTTTCCAATCAGTGATGTGTCTGATCCATTACGCATTGCAGCTGAAGCATTGCAAAATCTGGTAGTGATAAGACTTTGCAGGCATTTTCAAGTCATCCCACTCAAGTGGTGAGCAGAAATACTATTCGTATAAAAGTGATTCGCCAGTGAAGTTGAAACAGATCATTATCATTTTGAACAACCTTTGAGTATCTTCAAACCTTATAGGGCAGGGGTTGCCATATGAGGTTTCACTGGTAGCGTTTAACTATATACCATTATCAGTATACTCACCACTTCTGCTGCTATGATAGGTTGCCAGCATTTGGGAGCCTAGCAATCAGATTTTGACTCTCCCATCTTCTCATGCTTCATGGCTCTCAGATAGGGCTGCCCTATTTCACTAGAACAAAACTTTCTCTTTCATGCCTTCAAGAAATGAATACTGCAGGGTGCCTGGCCCAGACACTTGTCTTACAAAGGAGGAGTCAGATGACTAAGCTTGCTCAAATATCACAGCTTTGGCCTGGCCATTACACTGAGAGCCCTGTTCCTGCACCTTCTCACCTTCTACACTTCCTGCTTTTTTTGAGAGATGCTTTACTCTCCACCCAGCAGTTCTGGGAATCCAGATGGCATGTCTAAACTGCCAGGTGTGAGGTTCCTGTCATTCCCTATGCATATACTGCCATCTGCAGTGAAAGCCCCTAGAATTCTTTTCTGGGAACAAGGCTGCTTTTTGCTCTGTGAACCAACTGCTTAACTTCAGCAGCCATTTACTCCTCTGCTTGATTACCCTGCAACACAGGACAAGTCTCAAATCACGGAGAGTTTGTACGGTCCCAGCCGAAGATGTCCTCCCAACTCTGTGATGCATTCTAGCCCCGGCTGGGACCAGGTTCAGTGCACCTTGTTGTATGGGGAAGCCTGAATGTATTTGGGTGAATATCAGAGAGGGAATATTGCAAATGATAGGACTTTCTTTGGTAATAGTAAACTTCCCAGCTATATAATTTCCAGTGTCAGTGTTAAAACAGGTACTGTGTGAAGCTTCACTGTGCAGTCGAGGTCCAGCAGTCAGTCTGCTATGCAGAACATTGACTTTACAGCAGTGAACCAACTCCCTTGACACTTTTGCAGAAAGGAAGACGGAAAGGAGGCTCCAGGGTGTTTTCAGGAGTCATAAGTTGTACTTTACAGAGGGACATGTAATCAGAACAGGCTGTTTCTTCCACCACCCCCGCCCCCGCAAGATGTTCTGTGACAATTCAGTCCTTAAGTACCTGATCAGTTACTCAGAAGCTAAACTTGGGGAAAAGAGATCTTTGCCCTTAGTAGTGCTGCCTGTCATATTTGCTGTTTTTTGGAGGCTTGCAAATAGGTTGCTCCAGATGAAAATAATTGGGGAACCCAATGTGGGGGAAGGAAAAGAAATAAATAAAACAAAACAAAAAAAACCCAAACCAAAATCTCCCCTGCTGTTGCTTGATCAGACAGTTGTTCATTTTGAGCTACTGAATTATTTTAAAGAATTCTCCTGGGTGGGGAAAAATGTAATTTATTAAAAGATGCTGAGGACACTGGCATTGCTACAGAAGAGTAGAAGACAGGAAAGCAGGCCACAATGAAAAAAAATCTTGTTGCACAGATGCAAAAGAGAACTGTTGAAGATGAGGAATGAGGGCAGGCAAAGGCAGAATAGCAATAGATGGGCTCAAGAAATGTGAGCAAGATCACAGGGTTTAGGGGTTTAAGACCCAGAATGTGGGGAGCATCATTTCCAGAGGGAAATAAATGAGTCTTAGTGCCTGCAATGTGTCTGTGTGGCTGTGCAGGCTTGTGAGCAGGTGGTGGTTTCTGGTCACCACTTGGAGGGCCCTAAGGAGTGCTTGGTCACAAGGAAATGCCTGTCCCAGCACTGCAACCTGCAGTCTCCCATGTTCTGGAGATGTACTTGGTTCTTAGGATGTGGAGGGCTCAGGCAATAGCAAGTAGCAGGCAATGCTGATATGAGTTGGGGGTAGAAAGGGGTTAAGCAAACAGGATGCTACAAGTAGTTTATAGGATTCCTGTGGGAACTGTTTTGTTTCGTGTTTTGTTTTTGGTTTTTTTAAATGCTTGATCTTACAGTTTGGTTTTGAAGATCTTGCTCTGGAGGATAAAAAAATATTGCTATTTTTTATTAGTAGTCATCTGTTGTTTTATGGGTTGAGTTTTTAAAAATTCTTGACAATATTTGTAATTTTTAAATTTACTGTTAAGTTTCTGTTGCAATACCGATTGTCCACTAAGTAGCACTCAACAGGAACTTGAAGCAAGAGCGGATCTTGCTTTGGTTTTTTTTGTATGCACTACTTAAGAGTGAAAAGCTGAACAAAAGTAATCTATTGAAGCTTCAAAGAAACAAGCTGCTACCAGCCTAGTCCATAAGTGAATCATATGTGGTCTGTGTGTATTCAGAACAGAAGCCCCCTTGGTAGCAGGAACTTAAAAAAAAAGTCAAACAAGCACATGTACAAGCTGCTAATACTCAGTTCAGCAAGGCACAAAGCAGCACTCATTGCCAGTTAGTAGCTCATTCAAGTGACCATCTTAATACTGCTTACGTTAATTTCTAATTTCATTCTCCCCCTAGGGCCAAGACTATTCATGCTCATAGGATTGTTGTTTAGTTACATAAATCAACTCTGCCAGTGTCTGTGCAAAGATACTCGTCTCTTGCTTTACAGCTGTTGTACAAGACCTGGCAGTTCAGTCTCTCCTGTGGCCTGCCAAGTCCAGCATATTGGTTTAACATTACTGGCTCCCTTGGCGGAGCACAAGATAAGGAATGGAGCACATACAGAGTCCGGAACATTTGGGGAATTTTACTCTATGAAAGCTGATTGTTATTTTGGGTACAATGCTTAAACTGAAAACATAAGAGCAAACTACTTCCATCAAAATTTTGCAAGCCATTGTTTGTCTAAGAGCCTTCTTGCCAGGGTGGACATGCTTGGCTATGGAATAGTGAGGGTGACCCAACCTCCAGGTAGTGATGGCATTACACTTTGTATACTTATGGCCTCCTTTTACTTTCTTGTTCCTAGCTAAAGAGTTGAGATAAGCTCATTTCAAAAGTCCATACAGATCTATGTCTACATGCTTGTTGTGGTTTAACGCTGGTAGTCAGCTAAGCATCACACAGCTGCTTGCTCACTCTCCCCCAGGGGGATGGGGGTGGAATCAGAAAAGTAGAAGTGCGAAAACTCATGGATTGGCATAAAGACAGTTTAACAGGTAAAGCAAGAGCTATGTGCACAAGTAAAGCAAAATAAGGAATTCATTCACTAGTACCCATCAGCAGGCAGGTGTTCAGCCATCCTCAGGAAAGCAGGGCTCCGTCATGTGTAATGGTTCCTTGGGAAGACAAACGCTGTTAAGTCTGAACATCTTCCTCTTTCTCCTTTTTTCCTCCACCTTTTATTGCTGAGCATGACATCATATGGTATGGAATATCAGTTGGGGTCAGCTGTCCCAGCTGTAACCCCTCCCAACTTCTTGTGCACCCACAGCCTGCTCACTGGTGGGCCAGTTTGAGAAGCAGAAAAGACCTTCACTCTGTGTAAGCAGTGTTCAGCAGTGACTAAAACATCCCTGTGTTATCAACACTGTTTTCAGCCCGAATCCAAAACATAGCCTCATACTATCTACTATGAAGAAATTTAGCTCTATCCCAGCCAAAACCAGTACTATACTGAAGAAATAATTGCATGTACGTAATGAGTCATGCTGACTTCTGTCACATACAGCATTTCACACAGTGATGTACATTTTAATCAATAATTTAGTATTTCAGCACTGCTGACTTTCGTGTATGCTCTGCAAAAATTTGATACTTCTGTTACTGAAGTAGCCTCAGAAGTTTGTATTGCTGTGATTCTCTTACCGTATTCAGTTTTACATGAGATTTCAAAAGCCTAATTTTTTTGCTGTTTTTTCTCAAGCATTCAAAATTAAATCTGCATTTGAAAAATATTTTTGATGTCTGATGTGTAATTGCCACTGAACAGTGACAATGCTTCTGGTGAAACAGACTGATACCTTGCATGAAAAATATGAATGCAATTAATTTTTTTGAACTTGTGAGACACTAGGCATATTGTGTGCATCTTGTCTAACATAAAATTGATACTAGACTTTGAGAGAGGATTGTAGATGAGTAGAAAACTGTATAGTCACAAAAGGAAATTGCAGATGGCAACAAAAGGCAGTTTAATTGTACACACATAAGTTCTTATTCAGCAAGGTACTTATGCACGTGACTAGCCTAAACCTTGCTCCCAGTCTCACTAAAATCAGTCCAACTACTTACATGTGACACTGAATTACAGCCTTTGGGTTTCTAAAATCATTTAAGACTAAATAGGGTAAATTCATCTTGGATAACTCTTGATGGAACCAAATTGTATCCCTGCTTAGCTCACTGGAGTAACTCACGGGAAATCAGTGGCATTTTCCCCTAGCTTGATTGTAAGTATAATTGAACAATATTAAGATAATATAGTTGTTTTGTATTAATTGTCCGGAGCAGTTTATAGAACTTCTGTGAGAAACTCCTGGGTTAGTTCTCATTAAATAATAAAAGATCACTTCATAAATGCATAGCAAATTTAGAACATCTGGATTTTAAAAACATTGATCCACATGTAGCATGTTTCTTTCAGGGTTCATCAGTTCTCTGTACTGTATTGTATTATTAATGTGTCTGTAAGGATGATGTAAAAGCTTAAGATTTCTTTGCTTTCTGGACAGTTGCAGCGAGGTGGCTGGAATATGCAAGCTATTGTATTTGGATTGAAATTTACTGACCTTCATATATCTGCTTTTTCTGTGCTGCAGGTGGGCACTGTGGTAGAGGTTCTTGACAGGCTGTCATCTGCTGGACCAGTGAAGAGCACTTACCCATTAACCTTTGTTCAGCTAAAGCAGGTGAGGATTCCTTCAGTAGGCACTTTGCAGTAATTTTGTAAACCTCTATGGTATTACTTGTCTTATGTCCAGTGTCTTACATCTTATTTCAGCACAGAAGTAATAGTATTTTAAATGTGCCCAGGATTTTTGCATTGGAGATCTTTCCATATTCTACAGTGCACCTGTTTTGCAACCAAGGTTTTCCTCTTTCCGTGAATGTAGGTATCTATGCTGTCCAGGCTTTCACCTTTATCTCTCTCCTCTCTGAAGTATTGATTTTCAGGTTCCTAAGAGACTTTTTTTTAATCCATCTTTTTCTTCACTATAATTTTTCCTTATTCTGTTCGTTCTTTGCCTCTCCCCACTTGCTATCAGAGTGATTACAGTGACTGAGACACTGCTTTCTCATACAAGTCAGGGGGCGTGGAGATTGGGGAATGCAATCTATTGGACACTTCTATGGACCTCCTACTTATTTGTAGTCTTTTTCTTTTACTATGTGTTTGGTGAGGCAAGAGAATGCAGTGTGAGAAACCTTTGGGAGCAACCTCTTGGAGTTGTTGCAACCTGCTGTCAAGGTCGTTCACCCCACTGGCTGAGATAGGAGAAATTCCTTTCTCTGCCTTTTCCTGTGGTTTCTGCTGACTCCCACTCTTGCCTATGTTCCCCTTCTCTCAGTCTCTGCATCAGTTTCCCTGTCAATTTTGGTGACTTTCCGTATCTTCCCTCACAGTCAAAGATCTTTCCCTTTCTGCTGAGGGACTCTGTCTTTCTGTCCTATTAAACTGTCTTTATCTCAACCCAGGAGTTTTACCTTTTTTCTGATTCTCTCCCCCATCCCACTGTGGGGGAGCGAGCGAATGGCTATGTGGTGTTTAGCTGCCTGCCAGGTTGACCTACAGTCCTTTTTGGCACCCCACGTGGGGCACAAAGGGTTTAGATAATGACAGATCTGACCAGAGCATGTTAAAACAAATTTCCTACAAGTATTCATTATATTATTTTAGTTTTAATAGTCGCTGGTCACAGTGTTGATTTATTTGCTCTGACTTGTTGCGCTTCTTCTCAGAGTTGTGTTGTGTAACACCTTACTTGCTGTATATGTTCTCTGTTGTGCTGTTTATCATCTCTGGGGGCTGAATTATGTTATTTTGCTCTACTGTGTAACATTGGCTTTTGATATGATAAAATCTCTGGTCGTGAGACTAATCTGGTATTTGTACTCAGGATTGCTGTCACCTCCATACTTTGGGAACCATCTCTTGGAAACTATTAGTAATTACACTGTTTACCTTTTCTCCTCAGCCGATCTATGAGGGAGACAAGGGGGAACACCTTCCCCCACTCCTTCACCTTCCTCTTTTCCAGACTAGTTACAATAGCTCTTGAGAATTTTTAATATACTTGGGATGTTCAAACCAGCATGTTCCTATTGCTCTGTCTCCTGAATGTGTTTCAGGTCTTGTTTAAGGTTAAATAACTCTTTAAGAATACCACCCAGAGATCTGCCCCGAGGATGGATAGTTACAAGTGGCAGGGTGTATGGGATAGTATGGGCAAGTACCTAGGACAGTGGGCACCTCCAGTGTTTTGGAACTTCACCCCTGAACAAGTACAGAATCCTGAAAAACTAGTAAAATATTTGGAAAAAGTGTGCTGTCACCCTAGCAATTCCAGAGAGACACAAATCACTGCAATGTGCTGGGGCCTGGCCCATGCCTACCAAGCCCTGTTCAATGCTATTCATTACCCTCAAGGGGAAGAGAAGCTCTCTGGATCTGACAACAAAACAACAGGCACTGCGGCTACTCCAGCCCTGGTGGCAGGCACTGCAGCTGAACCAGAGAACCAACCCGTGCCGCTATCAGTTGCCCCTATACACAAGAAGAAATATTGGATGCGAAAGTCAGCTTGTTTTTAGTAAGGGAGACTTGAGGTTGACACCTGGGGTTTTGGAGTCGGGGATACAGAAGACCCGAGGCCTACTACAGCTGAAAAAGAGATACTGGCAGCTTATGAAGGGATTCGAGCTGCTTCGGAAGTAACTGGTGCTGAAGTGCAGCTCCTCCTGCCACCCTGGCTGCCGGTGCTGGACTGGATGTTCGAAGGCAAGGTGTGCTCTACACATCATGCAGCTGATGCTACATGGAGTAAGTGAGTTGCACTGATCACACAACAGGGTCAAATAGGAAACTCTAGTCATCTAGAAATCTTGGAAGTGATCGTGGACTGGCCAGAAGGCAAAGATTTTTGGAATATTGCTAGAGGAGGAGGTGACGCATGCTGAAGAGGCCCCACTGTATAATAAACTACCAGAAATTGAAAAGCAGTATGCCCTGTTCACTGATGCATCCTGCTGTGTTGTAGGAAAGCATCGGAGGTGGAAGGCTGCTGTATGGAGTCCCCTACACCAAGTCGCAGGAACTGCTGAAGGTGATTCGAGTCAGTTTGCAGAGGTGAAAGCCATTCAGCTGGCTTTAGACATGGCTGAATGAGAAAAGTGGCCAGTGCCCTGTCTCTATATTGACTCATGGATGGTGGCAAATGCCCAGTGGGAGAGGTTGCAGTGATGGAGGCAGAGCAACTGGCGGCACAGAGGCAAACCCAACTGGGCTGCTGCATTGTGGCAAGATATTGCTGCCTGGGTGGAGAACCTGGTTGTGAAGGTACATCATGTAGATGCCAATGTACCTCAGAGTCGGGCCACTGAAGAACATCAAAACAACCAACAGGTGGATTAGGCTGCTAAGATTGAAGTGGCTCAGGTGGACTGGCAACATAAGGATGAATTATAGCTTGGTGGGCCCATGACACTTCAGGCTGTCAAGGAAGAGAGGCAACATATAGATGGGCTTGTGATCAAGGGATGGACTTGGCCATGGACACTATTCCACAGGTTATCCATGAATGTGAAACATGCGCTGCAATCAAGCAATCCAAGCGGTGAAAGCCTCTGGTATGGAGGACGATGGCTGAAATATAAATATGGAGAGACCTGGCAGATTGAATATATCACACTCGCACAAACCTGCCGAGGCAAGTGCCATGTGCTTACAATGGTGAAAGCAACCACCATATGGCTGGAAACATATCCCATGCCCCATGCCACTGCCTGGAACACTCTCCTGGGCCTTGAAAGACAAGTCTTATGGGGACATAGCACCCCAGAAAGAATTGAGTTGGACAACAGAACTAATTTCCAGAACAACCTCATAGACACCTGGGCCAAAGAGCATGGCATTGAGTGGGGTATATCACATCCCCTATCATGCACCAACCTCCGGGAAAATCAGATGATACAATGGATTGTTAAAGACTACACTGAGAGCAATGGGTGGTGGGACCTTCAAACATTGGCATACACATTTAGCAAAGGCCACCTGGTTAGTCAACACTAAAGGGTCTGTCAATTGGGCTGGCCCTGCTTAGTCAGAACTTTTATGTACTGTAGAAGAGGATAAAGCCCCTGTAGTGCACATAAAAAAAAATAAATGTACTGGGGAAGACAGTCTGGGTTATTCCTGTCATGGGCAAAGGCAAACTCATTCATGAGATTGCGTTTGCTCAAGGACCTGGGTGCACTTCATGGGTAATGCAGAAGGATGGGGAAGTCACATGTGTGCCTCAAGGGGATTTGATTTCAGGTAAGAATAACCAATCATTTAAATTGTATGATGTTAATTGCTATATGATATTGTATGTCATCACTATTATGGTTGCTGTACGCCATATCAATGGTATTACAGTAAGAATTACCCAGATAAATGAAGAATGAATTCTGGTGAAACTGAGCAAAGTGCAGCAATGATAGAACCAGATAAGCACAGTGGTGATGGAACCAGAACTGGCTTCAGGATGCAACAATCCAACACCACACACCATCTCTCTTGCCCTGAAGGACTGTAATGACAGATGGAGCCCAAAGTCATGGACTAAATGAACTCAACGGACATTTTAGAGGGATGACCCATAGACTAAGGGAATGATACCTGTGTGTATATATCAAAAGATGAGAAAGGTCGTGGTAATTAATTGGGGATGTATTGGAAAGTGTGGGACCTGGGCATGACATAGAAGGTATAGAATAAAGGATGGATATAGGCAAAAAGGACTGTTGTAGTTTAACCCAGCAGGCAGCTAAACACCACACCGCTGTTTGCTCACTCCCCCTACAGTGAGTTGGGGGAGAGAATTGGAAAAAAGGTAAAACTTGTGGGTTGACATAAAGACAGTTTAATAGGACAGAAAAGGAAGGGAAAATATTATCATTATTACAAATAATAATAAAGAATATACAAAACAAGTGATGCACAATGCAGTTGCTCACCACCTGCTGACTGATACCCAGGCAGTCCCCGAGCAGCAAGCTGCCACCCTCTGGCCAACTCCCCTTACTTTTATTGTTCAGTATGGCGTACAGTACAGTCATATGGTATGGAATATCCCTTTGGCCAGTTTGGGTCCGCTGTCCTGGCTGTGTCCCTTCCCAGCTTCTTGTGTGTTATCAACATTATTCTCATCCTAAATCCAAAACACAGCACTGTACCAGCTAGTAGGAAGAAAATTAACTGTATCCCAGCCGAAACCAGGACACAGGGATAAATGGTTTTGTGGCTAGTAAGTGAAAGAGATGATGCATTGTTTGACTTGTTTTTAATTTGCGGTGTTTCACTTTGTGATGAGAACAAGTCTAATGAGTGACCTTTTTTTTTTTTTTTTTGCTTTCCTAATGGGGAAATCTGAAGTGAATGAAAGTTAACATTTCAGTCCAAGCGTGTAGTCAGGAAAGTGGGATATTTTTAATTCATGATCTCAATTGAAGCCACAGAATGACTTGGTTCATTAATCTGAGTTTTTTCCTTTCTTTTCTTCTCTTAGTATTTTGGGTTTGTACTGTACAGAACTACACTTCCGAAAAACTGTACAGAGCCAACACAACTGTCTTCACCTTTAAACGGAGTCCACGATCGTGCCTATGTCTCTGTCGACGGGGTAAACATTGTTTGGTGGTATTAATTTCTACCATGAGTGGTCTTCACAAAAGTTATGGATACTGCCTTTTTTTTTTTAACTCCTTTCTCCAGCTTACCAAAACAACTTTATGAAATAATCTTATTTAATCAGATGAAGGAAGTATACAGTTGACTCATGCTAAATGTTCATATTTGTATTTCAGAAAATATGAGTATCTATTATTTCTAAGGAAAATGTAATTGTTTCCAATTTTGAGATATTTGAATGTTGATACAGATTCATGACTTAAGTAGAAAAAAAAACCCTAGAAGAAGGGTTTACTTGCAGATTCATGAAATATGTTAATGGTATATGTGCTTGGTGGCTTTCTAAAGTGTTTCCGTAGAAATTTTTTTTTTTAATTCTCTTTTTCCTTTGAGGGTGGGGGGAAGTGGAGACCTGAGCCTATGTCTTGCCATATGAAACTGGCTTCTGACCACAAGTTAAAAAAAAAATTTTATCATACAGGATGTGGACTTTACCTTTCTTTACTTGAGCAGGGTTTTGTTCATGCTTAATGAGAATTGGTATAAATTGACAGACTTTGGTAGCATATTTTTTTAATCAATCTTAGACCTATGCTGACTCTCGTCACCGTTGTGTCCAGGTCAAGCTGTTCTTTTGTTATGTTGTGGGAATGGGAATAAATAAAACTGAATATTGATGCGAGCTTAATTGGAAGATTAAGCCCCTTTTAATCAGTGATATTGCCAAAATCTTCTCAGTCAGTAGACTACATTTGAGAACTTGCTTTTTGTGAGTCAGGTGAATCAATAACTGCTAGGATTCAGTTAGTTGAAATCAGCTAAGAAAAGAGATGGTGTCAGTTGAACAAATGCTGCCTAGTAGCACATCCAGTTGATGTACTGAAATGTAAATATTGACATAACAGCTTTGTGTGTGTGTGTGCACGCATGTGTGCAAGAAGAGGAAAGGAAATTTTTTTTTTACTTTTTGTTGTTTGTTTCCTTTGTCCTCTTTCTTTTCTTCATGCAAGTTGAAGAGACAAATAACAGAGTTTTGTGGTTTTTCAGTGGTTATTGTTTTCTTCCTCTTGGTGTAATTCATATAGGTTCCTCAAGGTGTCCTTGAAAGGGACAAATCACTTATGATAAATATAACTGGGAAGGCTGGAGCAAATCTGGACATCTTGGTAGAGAATATGGGCCGAGTCAACTTCGGTAGATACAATAATGACTTTAAGGTAAGTAAAATCAGTTGAGTTACTGGACTGTGGTGGCTTTTCCTCTTTTTTCCACAGGTTAAAAAGAAAGTAGTGGGTTAGAGCAAAAATATCAAGATTACACAGCTGTAACTTTACCTCAAAGTATAACTACTTAGTAGTTTTCATCTGAGTTTTTTCCAGTCACAAAATCAATGCAGAATTAAAAACTGACAGACATCTTTTAAATTTTTTTCTTGTTGGTTCACTTATGTTGTCAGCCAAAGTGTTGCCCGCAAGACTTTCAGGTTGAGTTGAGCCTGTAGCTAACATTTTAAAATGTGCAAAGCTGTTTGGATAAACTCCAAAAATGAGTTGGAAATTGGTCTAGATCTTAGTTGTACTTCGAGGCTTGTGAATCTTGGGGTTGTGTTTTTGTGTGTGTGTACATATGTGTACACATATACACTTTTGTATCTCTCTCCATGTTCCATTTCATTTATCAGCAGCATACCCTTGCAGTATTTTCAGTGTGGCTAGGAAAGGCTATCTCACAAACGCTTTACCATGCAAAATTGCCAGTTCAGATTTGGACTGATCAGGTGTTACAGATAATGATCAGAAAGCTTCCAAATGCTTCTGGGTCCATGTGCACTTTGTGACTGTCACCCTTCCACATGAGTGGCTTCCACAGGTGCCCACCAAGCTGCTCTATCGCTCCTCCTCCATCGACAGGACAGGGGAGAAAACACAACGAAAGGTTTGTGGATCGAGATAAGGGCAGAAAGAGATCACTCAGCAATTACTATCACAGGCAAAACAGACTTGACTTGAGGAAATCAATTTATTGCCAGTTAAACAGAGTAGGATAATGAGAAAAAAGAACAAATCTTAAATTCCCCCCACCCCTCCCTTCTTCCCCGGCTCAGCCTCACTCCTGATTCTTCTACCTCCTTCCCACAAGTGGTACAGGGGGATGGGGAATGGGGGCTGTGGTCAGTTGATAACATTTTATCTCTGCTGCTCCTTCCTCCCCACACTCTTCCCCTGCTCCAGTATGGGGTCCCACCCACAGGAGACAGTCCATGAATTTTTCCAACACGGGCCCTTTCTACGGGCTGCAGTTCTTCATGAACTCCAGCATGTGTCCCTTCCCCGGGGTGCAGCCCTTCAGGCACAGACTGCTCCCGCCTGGGTCCCCTCCAGGCTCACAGGTCCTGCCAGCGCACCT